AGAGAAGAAGAAGTTCGAAAAGTTTGAGAAGAATGATGAAAAAGCGAAAGAGTCAAAGACAGAGAAGAAGCTGAAAGGGGATTTAGGAATAGATTGTCATTACTGCAATGGTGCGAACCATCTTGCGAACGACTGCATGCTTCGAAAGAAAGATGAGAAAAAGAATAGAGTGAAGGACGAAGCATACTACTCTGAAAAGCTTGAAGAGGTTCGTACGAAGGCCAAAGGAATGTCGCTTGTGGCAAGAGGTGAAGATGAAGCCGATGGCACTTATCAGATCTGGTCATCTGGATCAGATGATGAAGAGATGAGGCATCCCACTCATGGAGCCATGTTTGCAAAGTTTGAGGATGGAGAAGAAGAGGAAGTGACTGGTCGATGCTTCATGACGAAGTCAAGTGACAAATCACCTATGACCACAAAGGTACGTTCTATTCTTGAATCTTTTAATATTCCTTTACAAGCATATGATTCTGAAATAGTTGCATTTGATGATATTGTTGCTTACTTTGATGCTATTGTTGTGTCTGCTAGTAACGAAGCAAAGAAACTTAATAATCAACTGCTAGAGACACAAAAGTTACTAGACACGAAACGAAGCAGGTTAGAGTATCTAGAATTGCAACTAAGGAATGCTAATACTGATAGAGAGAATCTAGATAAGGATGTTAGAATGTTACTTGCTCAATGAAACATCTATTGTAATTCTGCTAAGCGTTTGTATGCAAAATTGACTGCTTTACATCATTCATCTGATATTAGCAAAGAACAACATTGTAAGTTGTTACCTTTTCTTGTCTTTGAGAGAGAAAAAGTTGATATCATGTCATATGATTGTGAGAATACCATAGCTGATTTTAACAAAGTGTCAGATGATAGGTTTGCATATGGTATTGTTAAGATAGATGAATTTCTAAATGCTGATGAACTTGTTGAGATTGTGAATAAAAGTTTAACAAAAGACGAACAAATAAATTTTTTGAAAAGAACTGATCATTCGAAACTAGACTCTCAATTCAATTCTGCTGATATTGATGATAATTCTGATAATATTAGTGAAATCAGTGAAATTGAAGAAGAGGAAAGTATTGATTGTTCTCAGTTATCTATCATTAATGTCTCATCAAAAATCAAAGGTAAAGAAATTATTAATGATTCGATGGTTGAGGATGACATTGGAAAACCCTCTACTTCGAAAATCTGTGACTTTGATGATGTGGATGTACGAGACAGTCAAACGGATAGTAGTGATGATGAGGAGGACGAAGTCAATGTTTCGAATGATGAAGAGTCAGAAAAGAATGTTTCGAATGAAACATCTATTCCAAGAATTCACTACTAGAAAAACAGCCTTTTACGACGCTCATTACGCGTCGTAAAAGGCTCAGACGACTTGCGCGTCAAGAAAGGCCCTGTCATAAAGAGAGACGACGCGCATTTACGACGCTTATTTACGACGTGCAATTACGACACGCAATGCGTATCAAGGAAAGCCCTGTCATAAAGGAAGACGACACGCATTCGCATGTCGTAACCTTACGACGCGCGTGTTAATGACACGCAATGCGTATCAAGAAAGCCCCTGTCAAGAAAGGCCATGTCATAAATGAAGATGACACACAGTTTTGAGTATCATAACTTTAAATGTTTAAAAAAATATTATTTATAGATTTACTAATTTTCAAATTAAATTTGTATTTAATGTCTCATAATAGAAAATAAAATATCATATACAAAAAATACAATCCATTACATAAAATTTAATGCCATACAAATAATCGTTCCATATATAGAAAAATAAAGCAAATCAATAGAAGTTGTAACAAAAATTTACAAACTAATAGTTCTAATAACCTAATGTGTGCCTCACTGTAAACAAGATTTGTGCTGATTTTTTTAAATGTGTGCCTCACTTGTCTCCACTCTTCCTTAATAACACCACTTAAGGACTCTAAACCTATGAACTTGCTCACAGTATCTATATTGCCTGCAAAAAAAACATAACTACAAAATAAGTGTGAAGATGGATTATTACAGTGTAAGAAAAGTAAAGAACCTTGAGCTTCCTCCAATGGGACACATGGGTGGTCAGACAAAAGAACACGAGGTTCTTGGCGACACATCTGATCTGAGTCTCTGGAGTAACCGATCTTTGTTCTTTGGCTTGCTGAAGGAATTGGTTACTGTATCAAGCAACACACACTGTCAAATTTATATACTTTTTTATTTTTTTTTAAAAGTGTTTTGATGTTGGAACTTTCTGTATACTTGGGGCAGTGTTTGTTGGTTTTCATGTGACCAAACTGATGAATCAAACCATAAAATCATCACATCACAACATATGTAGACCATACTTGACCTTTGTATTTTATGTTAAAAAGGAAAACGGCATAACATTTGTAGAGCATACCTGACCACAAGCTCCATATGCGAAACTCTCTCTTGCATTTTTCTTTGTATTTCCAACCTACATTAGGATAGATCAAGCAACAACTTATTGAACAAAATTATGTTAAAACTTCATCTTCTTTTTTGTGCCAATAAAGAGAAAAAAGCAACTAACTTACTAACCTTCATAATATTCATTCCACCATTCAAAATTCTAAGCTTTTTATTTAGCAAACCACCAACTTGTTCAAGATCTTTTGGGCTTCATCTTTCCAGAAAAGTTCTTCCTGTAAGGAAACATTTCATCCTGCCACCCCACCACATGAACATCAGTCACTAAAACTATATAATATAAATATAAATATTACATAACACGGGTCCCACATGATGAATACAGAGTCACACAATAGATAGCAAAGCATACTTGTGTTTTAGGTACAAATGATTTCTTCAAATTTTTGGATATAATGAAATGAATACCTTTTGGAACAGAAAACCATTGTTCCCTATTTACAGCTTTCTTTAAAGGCTCATGAATAGCGAATATTTCTGAAAATCGTAAGATTACATTTCCATCTTCTACACAGAGAACAGGAAGTGGTGTTGAACTTTTAGCTTCAAGTGGCTCTTCTAACATATCTGTGTCCTCCTGAAAACAGAAGTTATATGTATATCAAATGTATCTTTAATTCTTTATATAAAGGAAGCTTAAATGATGTCTTTAAATAATGAACACAATAAATGTTATAAACCTTTTGAGGCCCCATAACATCAGGATCTGAGTTTTCTATTTCAACTGCAGGACTACCATCCTCTGGAGAGCATTTTTCTTGAGGAACAATTGGTAAAGAAGGACTTTGAACTTGGTCAACATTATCCACACGATCAAGTTCTTTCTGTAATTCTTCCTCTTCTTCATCTTCATCATTAAACAATGAAGATGAGGCAACAGGTGGTACAGTTGTAGAAACATAATCAGATTTTGGTAATAGATAGTCCTCCTCAGTCAATGCTTGGACTTCTGGTCCCTCATACTGTTCATCAATATCTTCATAATCAACTGCATTTTCAGCATTCAGATCATAATCTATTTGGATGTAGCACAAGAGGTGGAATTAGAAGATTATCAGTTATATAATGTCCACATAATCAACCATTATCCTATAAGTCCAAAGTCATAAATTCATTAATAAGAACAATGATACCTTGTTCAGCAACATCAGCAGATGTTTGTGAGGTTTTTACTGACAGCTGAATAATGAGATAGTAAAAGAACAAAGAGTTAGATCTAGATACTAAAATAGTGAAAAGTTCTTATCAGTTATCATACCAAAACAGAGTACATGGAAATGTGTAATGAGTAATAAAACTAATCATAAACACAAGTTGAAGGAAGTAGAAAGTAGTTGTATACATGGATATCTGTTAGTGAAGAACCAAGCTTGTCAGCTAGTGCAGCAAGATGCTCTTTTGCATCCTGAGAAACAAAACCATGGTTTTAGTATCCAAGTTGTAGGTATCCATGATGTGTATGGATGATATTTGTTGTATGTAACCTTGTCCAATTTGTATATGTATTCATACCACATATATGCCACATACTCAAAGAATACTTGAATAACATGGTGTTAGAGATATTAAATTTAGTATTGTAGTAATCATTGATGGAGTAAAATTAAACTAACCTAATAGGAATGTTAAATATTATAAAAACTTGATAAAAGACGATATGTTAAATTTTAAGAAAGACATGTGAACATAATTGTTTTAACTTTTAGTTGCACTGGAAAACAACTTCAAATATTTAAGATAGCATACCAAAATTTGTCCATCTACATGTGGATCATGCAAAGCAGTTTCTTTTGGGTAACCCACCAGCAACAGGGGTAATTTGTCCATCTACATGCAGTAGATTGTACTAGGGACTTAAAGCACTTATAAAACTATCGTATGGAGGGTATTTTGGTAAACCCACCAGCAACAGGGGCAAGTCTGTCCAAAAAAATATCTGAACGGCCTAATCATATTTAAATAGCATCAAATCAGCACCAATCTCTCTATATCTTCTTCATTTTGTCCAGAAAAACAACTAAAAGACCTTGAAAGCACAAATACAACAAAAAAATATTAAAAATATGTATTTGAAGGATTAATTAATGAAGAGAAAAAAACAAAGTAACTTTATTTACGATTTTACCCCTGTAACTGCAGTTTCTGTCCATGCCCAAGCTAATGGAAGAAAATGTCATGGGGATTTGGCAATCATGAAAAGCCCCAATGCATATGAAGTGGCAAATATCAAAACAGATTTCCATGCTTTCATGTTATCAATTTCAAATACCTTTTGAGAAAAAAAATAAAAAGTATTAAATATGAATATGTTCAAATAAAAAAGGATAAAAATTAATAAGTAAGAGTGTAATACGGTCTTGGGAAGAGTATTGATGATGTCTTCAAAGTGATATTATCTGAAAGTGGTTCTCCAATTTTTCTAAAACCGTAATTTCGCATAATTCTTGTCTTCTTTCTGCACTCTCTGTTGGTAATGGTGGTGTGATAGGACTGGCTACTGCTTTGACTATTTTACCCTTTCGTAAAGGAATCATTGCAAGTTATATATCAGGGTTTAAGAAATAGCTTAGAAAGACCATCAGTAACGGCCTGTTTTGACATAATCACAAAACTATAAGGACTTAACTATTATATAATTTTAAAAAAAAAAAAAAGAGGGGGAGGGGGTTTACGTATCAAGGCAAAGATCTGCCAAAGAACTGCGTCTAATGTGTTCGTTTTTCATAGCAACATCAGTGAAAATACTATGGTCTGGTTGCGCACCCTGTGCAACAGCATCTACACAATACCCAAAAACATGTAAGAAAAAGCAACCTACTTTTATTTCTTCTTATTACAACATTCAAACTATAATGTCTTAATTAAAAGTACAAGGTTATAACTGGGTATAGTTTTATATAATAAGAGGATTAAAAATGACATACAGGCACGAAGTCTCATTTCACCAGCAGCTGGGAACCTGAGAAGCCAAAGGGCACTATTGGGAACACGCTTTAAAATATTGCACCTGAAACAAACATTATGTTAAATGTTACTTACAAGAGTAACATAAATTGAGATTATATCTTTAATGTTACCAAGTGATAAAAATTTCAGGATCCATCTTGTAAAGCTGATTAAAACAAGCAAATATGAACTTGTTTTCAGGCAATCCGTAAGCTGAACGCTTGGGTTGGCGGTTTACATCCAGCACATCAAGGTTTTTCTGCACCCAACCATTAAAAAAAAGATTATTAAAAAGAGCTGACGTCACTTTAAAAAATCTAACAAATTAGAATTTAGGAGAGTATGTAGTATGAAAAATCTACTCAATTATAACAATAACAGATTAATCAAACTACATTTACACCTTTACCTGCTTGTAATCATTCACAAAGTAGCAATGAGGGAGATGAACGACCTTCTCAGAGTAAATATGAGCAGACCGAGTTGGAGAGACAAATTGTAAGTAAGATTAAACATTTAAGCATCTAGTAAAAATGAGATTTAAAAAAATGAGAAGATAAAAAGAAAATCGTTTACTTCATCAGTGACCAAATACTGTATGTAGTTAGCACCAGTTGTGCCAGGGAATCCCATATATGAGACCTGAATGGGAGCTGGTTGCAGAGCAAATATTTCATTTCATGCCCCCTGGAATATGAATATATTATAGAAACAAGATGCAACAGGATTAACAAACCTTGTTTAAAACCACCATAGTTTTTATTATTGTCCCTTTTGAAACCCATATTATAAGTAGATGTGATTAATCATGAACAACAAACACTCTATTATTGTAAAAAACCATATTTGGTTTGTGTATTCCCAAGAATCAGACAGATTTGGAATTTAGGATTCCATTCCATGGTGTGTTCGGTTGGCAAATGGGCGGAATTCAGTTTTGTCAAATTTTGCATGTGATGAATTTCACCATTCCTAGGATGGGTGGAAGATATTTAATACCATTCTTCATTTTTTTATTAGGAGACCAAAAATACCCTCATTATGTATATTGAAATAACCAAAAATAAAAAAAATAAAATTTATTACAAGTGAAATTCTAAAAAAACAATTCAATTATTATTATTGAACTCCATTCCAGTTCCAGCCTAACCAAAGCATGACAGATTATGATTCCTTCATATTCCAATTCCTTCCAAAAACATTCTAAGAACCAAACAATCCTTGGGGTTAATATTTTTATGTATATTTAAATATATTTTGTTCATTGTTATTATATATACTTGAAGTTTTCATTATATTTATTTAATATATCTTGTGTGGGTATCTTGGTCTTCAATAAAAAAAAAGGAAGAAATCAACCAAATGCAACCAAAGATTCAAGATTCGCAACTAAATGCAACCAAAGATTCAAATTACAAGAAAAAACCATACCTTCTTGGAAAACCATTCATGTTTCCAAAAGAGTTGTTTGGAAATGGAAAACCAGCAACAGGGGCCACAATGTTTAATCCCACAATCTCTATCTTCATTGGCTTCCCATCAAGTTGGACATTGTTATACCTTTTGACAGCCGCTAATGCATCTTGCCTTCTTGAATACAATATCTTAGCCGTCCCCTGAAAGAAAATTTAGTTACAACAGAATCACAAACATGAAACTTTACAAAAGGTACTAAAACCTTGAAAATTACCTTTGATCTCCCACTTCTATCATAATGTATAGAATACTTTTTCAGGTCACCAACTTCTGCAAAAAGCTCCTGCACAGATTGAAGTGGTTTCATCCATGTGAGATTTCACCCAAGAAATTCTATGATTTACCAGTAAAGAAATAGAAAGTATATTGTGCACAAAATACAATCTCATCCACAAATCGACCAAAACAGTTTTCAGATACATCAGCTACACTTAACTATTTTCTTGTTACTATTAGTGTTTGCCTAACTACAAGAAACCATTAATCTCTACTATAACTTAGATTGGCTATGTACCATTTAATTCATGCCCTTGCACACGAGTAAAAGAATCTGGAAATAGATTTACACATCTTCAAAGAATCTTTAAGATGTATTGTAATTTATACTAACTTTGCCTTCTACCAAGTACCAAACTTAGAAGTACAAGGATTTCAATTTTGCGTTTATTAGATCGTCAATAAAGAAGAAACAACCAAATCAGTTTGATTTTTTGAAATATTCAAGTCTGATTTTTTATGGTTAATCCAAACATTGGAGTACGGTATCCAGATCTAGCCGAAGTTAGCTATAAGAGGTAAAAAGAAAGTATCAATCACCTTAATATCGTCATTCGAGACACTGTAATCAAGGTTTGATATGTAAAACTTCGTCCCAGTTTCAATCGCAGATGGATGGCCGCCAGGTCCAACTTTCCCCATGACCTGATCCGGAACAACGAACATATCATGCCTCCAAGCCGCATCTGGTGCCTAAATCAGACACGGAAACCCTTTACAAACATACTTTAGTCATCACCTACAACTACATAGTACGAGCAGCACATTCAGTAGCTTCCCGAACAGCAACAACTTGATCAGAGAACGAAACCTGCAAATGAGGTCTAGGGTTTACATGGAAACCCAAAAAGATGGATTATATAAGAAAAACCAAAAGGATATGAACATACCATTCGATGACCAGAACACGAACTGTGAGGAGGGCTGTTAGGGCTAGAAATAGCTTCCAAGGTCATCTTTCGACAAATCTAGGTATAATGTCCAATTGTTGTTATCTTCCATCTCTAAAGTCACCGACATGGCATCTTTTTTCTTTGGAGCCATCGTCGTTGCCCCATAACTTCGGAGATGGCGTGCCTACGATGGTCGAAGTGCGAGGGAAGAAGTAGGCGGCAGTCGATGTCGGGAGGGGGAAGGAAGGAGCTTCGATAATTAGGTCAAGAGGGAAATGAGAAAAAAGGAAGGCGGGGTTTTTAATTTTTTTTAGTATTTCATTTCCCCCCGGCTATTAAATGATGGAACGCGCGTTCCATTAAAATTTATAAAGCGACATCCTTAGACGACACACATTTTACTATAGGTGCCCTCCGTTTTTTTTTTTTTTTTTTTAGACACTAATTTAAGGGCACGCAATAATGCGTGACCTAAATCCTTAAATTTTTTGAAGAGATGACCCTTTTTTAATGTCACTCTCTTTTGTGTAACATAAATCAATGAGTGTCGTGGTTTGCACGTCGTAAAAGGATATTTTTCTTGTAGTGATTGTTGTTGAACAAGTGTATGGAGACACAAAAGAGTTTGACAAAGTGATGAATGACAAAGGTGCTCATTATTTGGAAACTAACACTGTCGTGTATCCAAATTTCACATGCACAGATGAAGTAGTTTTTCCAAATCAAGTATTTGTCACTGTTGGGCATGCTGAGAGCATCAAGCCAGAGTTTAATAAATTGGTTGAAGAAGACAATAAGAAAACTTCAGACGAAGGATTCTTTTCAAATCAAAGCACAGTCGAAAACAATCTAACGAAGAATTTGTATGTTTTTCAAATACAAAAACCACAACGAAAATGGGTTGTAAAATCAAAAAAAGAAAAGGAAGTTTTCAAACAAGAAGTTGTTGAAACAACCTAAGTTGTAAAACTCAACTCACAAGAATTCAAAACACTTGTTGACAAATTTTCAAAAGAAAAAGGAGTTTCAAAAAGAAACACATTGATGACTCTACACTAACATCTAATACTACTGCAAATGGCGAAAGTATGCTAGATGCTCGTACGGAGGGGGAGCATACGAATATATCTTCAAATGTTGAGGGGGAGCATCCTTTCGAGGGGGAGAAGAGTAGTATGAATGATGATTTCGAGGGGGAGCATCAAAATGACAATTATGTTGAGGGGGAGCATAATGAAACAGAAACAATAAATCTTGATCAAAATGATGAATTTCATGAGTTTAATGATAATAATTCTGTTGCAGGATCTGAAAATGAAGAAATGTACGAAGATGCACCATTGGAATTTGATCCAGCATATCCACCACTTGAGAAATGGACGAAAAATCATCCAAGAGAACAAGTAATAGGAAATCCACAAGATGGAGTTTTAACGAGAGCTCAAATTCGTGCGAAAAATGAGGTACTCAATACGAATCAATAATTGTGCATGTTTAATGTCTTTATTTCGAAAATAGAGCCAAAGACAATTAAGGTTGCTATGGAACACCCAGATTGGGTTGTTGCAATGCAATCTGAACTTGCTGAATTCGAACGAAATAAGGTTTGGAGACTTATTCCAAAACCTAATGATGTTTCGATTGTCGGATTAAAATGGATTTTCAAAAACAAAACCGACAAAGATGGCAATATTATTCGAAATAAAGCTAGGCTTGTAGTAAAAGGTTATTCGCAACAAGAAGGTATCGACTATGAAGAAACATTTGCCCCTGTCGCAAGACTCGAGGCTGTTCGAATATTTTTAGCCTATGCAGCACACAAGGACTTTGATGTTTATCAAATGGATGTCAAATGTGCATTCTTGAATGGAGAGCTTGAAGAGACAGTGTATGTTGAACAACCACCAGGTTTCATTAACAAAGAATTTCCTAATCATGTTTACATTTTAGATAAGGCAGTTTATGGGTTAAAACAAGCACCAAGAGCATAGTATGCAACACTTACCAATTTCTTAAAACAGTCAAAATTAAACAAGGATCAGTTGACCCCACATTATTTCGAAAGAAAGTTGGGAATCATATTATGCTTGTTCAAATTTATGTTGATGATATTATTTCTGGCTCTACTGACCCAGCTTTGTCTAGTGAATTTGAGAATTTGATGAAGAGTCAATTCGAAATGAGCATGATGGGTAAAATCAACAATTTTCTTGGATTGAATATTCGTCAAAGCAGAGAAGGAATTTTCATCAACCAAGAAAAATACACGAAGAACTTGCTTGAGAAGTTTGGAATGACAAATAGCACGAAGCTAAGAGTGCCTATGGCAGTGGGAACGAAATTAACACCTTCGTTAGATTCACCTGCTGTTGATCTTACTTTATTCAGAAGCATGATAGGTTCACTACTTTATCTAACTGCAAGTAGACCTAATATCATGTTTTCTGTATGTAATTGTGCTAGGTATCAAGCGAATCCAAGAGAACCACACTTAACAGCTGTGAAGAATATTTTTCGTTATCTCAAAGGAACAATTTCGTTAGGGTTGTGGTATCCTTCGAAATCTGGATTTTTCATTCAAGCCTTTTCGGATGCAGATCTTGGTGGATGTACTCTTGATAGGAAAAGTACAAGTGGAGGATGTCAATTACTAGATGGGAAGCTTGTAAGTTGGCAATCGAAAAAGCAAACTTGTGTTGCAATTTCCACTGCTGAAGCTGAATACATTTCTGCTGCTGCTGCTTGCACTTCTCAAATCATTTGGATTCAAAGCCAATTGCGTGATTATGCAATTAACATGAAAAAGATTCCATTGTATTGTGATTCACAAAGTGCTATACGCATTTGTCATAATCCAATACAACAGTCGAAAACAAAACATATTGCTCTTCGTTATCATTTCATAAATGATCATGTTGAAGATGAAAATATTGAAGTTCATTTTGTGAAAACAACAGATCAACTTGCTGATATTTTCACAAAACCTCTTGATGAAAAATCTTTTATGAGAATTTTGACAGGTTTGGGAATGATAGATGCGAATTCTGTACCAGGATCAATCATTCAAAATTAACGAAGTCTTATTGGTGAAAAGGTGTTGATTCAGAGGCAAAATGATTCATTCAGAGGTTGATAGTATTAACCGTTCAGAGGTTACTGTTCACATTCAGCGCTTCGACACGCTTCGTTTTCGTATATTGGAGCTGAAAATTTTCGCATGTTTGGTATCATCTTTTAATTTCGTTAGTTTGTCTTTTATTCTTTGAAAAACTGAAAAAACCAAAAATATTTTCATTTCTTTGCATTCATTTTCGAAAATTCAAAAATATCAAAAAGATTTTTTTTTTTTGTTTTACTTTTTGAAAAATCCAAAATCACAAAAATATTTTTTATTTTTCAGAAACATAAAATCACAAAAAGATTTTTGTTACTTTGTTATTTTCTTTATTTTTTCAGGAATCAAGGATGTTAACACGAAGAATTTTTCAAGGGTCATGCTTGTGTTTCTTAGGGAAGATATTTTTCTTAAAACTATGTACTAGTTAAGATGTCCCTAGAAGCATGCTGCAGCATGTCGACCCAAGCCTCTGTAGACTCGATGTGTGTAAAAGAAAGCCTTAATGAAATTTTTCATACGAAAATTTCTTCCCACTCAGGCTTACATTCGCATTAGTCAAATGAGCTACCTTACTCTTCTCAAATGAGTTAAGAGTTTACTGTTTGGTCCAACTATAACAGAGGTACATTCGAATCTTAACCAACCTTTTTCATCACAAAATTCTTAACACTTTTCACACACGAAGACACATGTTCATGAGGTCATTGATCAAACCAATCATGAGTTAGACATGTCAAACATCTGTGTTAATAATCTTAATTCATGAGACCGTGATGCAAGTGAAACCCAAATATTCGAAATTATCAAGGAATAGACGGGGAACTTTGTTCCAGATTTTAACGAAACACTTGTTTTTGTGCCAAAATTTCGTATACTCCAAATTACATTCTTTCTTTTGAGAGGTCTTGATCAAATGTTCGAAGCCCACGACATTTGTTTCCCAACAAGATCCAGTTGAAATAATTTTTCTTTGAATGTGATTTCCGTGTGAGTATCAATTCTTATCCTTAGTCACTTTTACATATTTTCCAAAGCAACTTGTCACTGAATACACTGGCCAAACAAGTAATTTCGGTTACAATTACTCACCTTATGTTTAGGATGATATGTAACGAAATTCGTAAACTACCTTTGAAGCCTTGAAAAAGAAGCCCTTCAATATTTCTCTATAAGTATTTGATTGTAATTCACGGGAAAATACACAAGCTGTTGATTATCTCTCTTGATAATTAGCGAAGTAACCTTTGCCCGGGATTTAACTGATTTCGTGTCGAAATTTTCGACATCACAGAACCCAAATTTTTGTTAGAATTACTTCTTATCTTTTTCATTGGCATACTGCACTCACGAAATCCTTGAGGTTCTAAGTAAAACCAACTTAGGCTGAAGATTTCACAAGACTAGCAAATGACTTCGTTTCGAATCCCAAAAACGAAAGAGCCTAGCCTCCAATCCGAAGGGTTTGATCTTATCCACTGGTACTCATGAACAGTCTAAAGTAATCGTTTGGCAACTTGGCCCTAGTTTCAAGGCACTTTATGAGACGTGATGAGATAAACGGCTACTGGTGCGAGTTTCAAGGAAAGACGTGGCCTACTCTTTAATGATAAACGGTTCAAATTAATTTGGGGTTACATATAAAAGGAAAATCCTTT